TTTTTGGCTAATTACGAAAAGATGTGCAAAAAGTAGAGATAAAAGAGAATCTTTGACTTTTTGGTATGGATTGTTGACTTTTTGGCTAATTTAGTAACTTTTTGGCTAATTGGCTAAAATAGCCTCTTGCCAAACGAGGCCTTAATCATACCAAATCACATTTTAACTGAATATGCCATAAAATCACATTAATTCTAAGGATCACAAATCATCAATCAATTTCAGATTCGGCCGCCGATAAGGCCTTCAATTCGCAATTAAACACAAAGGCATGAATAGACAATCAAACAGTCAACAGATAGACATACAATTGAACAGATATACTTAATCAATTCAGTTCCAGATTTCAGTCAGTCAGTTCAGTACTTCAATTAATTCAGTTACCAATCATAATCAGTTTCAGTTTAGCAGTAATTAATGATTAATCGGTAAACAGTGACGAGGGTTGTTACAAATAACTATCGAGCTATCCCAAACATAGGATCAACTCTCATCGGTGACACTTGTCCTTTAATTGATCCAAGATCCCCACTTTATCTCTACCACATGTCATTGCCTAGTTGATCTATATGTTAACAAGAATTCAATAAAAATGGCAAAAATGCTTTAGAGCTTTAATATAAGAGCTCTAATAGCTCTAATGGGAAGGTGAGACCCATCCTGATGTGATGTTTGTGTCTTGTTTTTTTTTTTTTTTTTTTTGACTTTCCATATCTAAAGTTCAAATTAGAGCTCTAAATTTAGAACTCTCTAGCATTTCTCTAAAAATGGATATAAACAACATCCCTTAAAAGATCTCCATTATAAACATTTTATAAATATAATATAATTTTATATATTTTGTCTCGTAATTAAAAAAATCATAATTACATATATCGTAAATTAAAATTAAAAAAAATAATTTAATTAGAAATGTATATTTTTTCCCCGATAGATATATCTTTTTATTTTTGTGTGGTTTCTATTCGGGTATTTTTTTTTTCAATTTATTTAAGAGTTGTGGGTATCTTTTTTTTTTTTAAATTTAATTTATCTGTGATTTTCATTTGTTTTTAATTATTATTATTTAGGTAAGTTATGATGTGAGTTAGATATGTGATAGAAACATGAGTTTTATTGATGTAAAGTTTATTAATAAACTTTAAAGATTGTTTTTTTAGTTTTTTTTTGTGTTATAATATAATATTCAATCATATGAAAAAATCAAATTATAATTTTTTATTCGCTAGACAAATCACAAATATTTTTATGCGCTATCTAACTACAATATTAAAACAGTAAACAAAAGGAAAAGTCAAGAAAGAAAAAACAAAAGAAGACTTACTATTTACATACGTGGTTACTGAAGTTGAAAGTGTAGAAGTGAGAAGTCAAGCAGAAAAAAACAAAAAGGAGACTCACTATTTGCAATAGGTATGTGAAAAGTTAAAAACAGTGTGTGTATTGGAAAAATTAAAAAGACTTGGAAGAATTTAATAAATGCTAACTTTTTTTTTTCAAAAAAAATCAAAAAAATTAAGAAATTAAGGTTTAGATATTGAAACTCCCACAAAACTTGTGGGTTAGAGATAGATATAAATAAATAGATAGATATAGATAGAGATATTTATATTTGTTTTAAATTTTTTTTAATATACAAATTATTTGTTTTGGAAAAGGTACTGCAATAATTATGAGAGAAATCAAAAAATCTTATGGGTTGAGAGAAATTAATAAATGCTGAGGTTATTTTTTTTTAAAAAAACAAAAAATTAGAAAATTAGGATTGGCATATTGGAGCTCCCACAAGCTTTAGGGGTTAAAAACTCCCTTTTACTTAATATATAGTATAGACTAGCATATCACCCATGCTATGCACGGATTGTGTTTACAATTATTTATATATGTGAATTGCGATTTTTTAATGTCTTATTTTTTTCCTTTTTTATATTATATTTAAGTTTAATATTTTGATAATAATCATATGTGTTGAACTTTTCAAGAAATTTTTTTTATACTTGTTCTTATGCATTAAAGTGTTATTATGAGGGACAATAATCATATGTGTTGGGACTTTTCAAGGAATTCATGTGTTGGATTTCAAAGAATTTTTTTTTTACAGTGGCTTTGGTTCAGTCCAAGATCAGACTGGACCGAGCTGTTGGGCCCATAGGGGCCCACCACGGGTCCCGTTTTGATAATCCAAACCGTTCAATGTGTAGAACTCATCGAGTACTATATGCTTGTAAAAAATCACGTTGATCGGATATCGATAGCTATATGAACAAAATAGTTTTTTTATCAACCGTTAATTTTTTCATCGTCCATTTTTTTTATACAAAACTGATTTGATCACATAGCTATTGATATTCAATCAACATGATTTTTTACAAACATATAGTACTCGACGAGTTCTACACATTAAACGGTTTGGATTATCAAAACGGGCCCAAAAAATGGGCCTCATGAGCCGAACTGGACGGGTCCAGTCTTGATCTCAATTTGAGACAAGCTGGACCCTTTTTTTTATGCTTGTTCTTAATGCATTAAAGTGTTATTATGAGAATAAGACTTGGGATTTTGGAGAAATTAATAAATGCTAAGGTTTTTTTTTTAAATCAAAAAATCAGAAAATTTAGATTGAGAGATTAGAACTCCCACAAGGCTTGGGGTTAAAAACCCTCTTTTACTTAATATATAGTATAGATATAGATATAGATATAGATTCCACTTTCTTAATGGATAGCTAAGATCAACTTGATTTAAGGATCATCATTAACTTTCTAGAATATTTTAAGATCTTTTTACCTTTTACTATATTTTAGAATTCTCTAATGAAATTTTTTACATTTTTCAAAAATATCCTAGAACCTTTTTGAAATCTTTTAGATTTGTCTTGATCTTTCAAACTTATCCAACGTTCCAAATTCTTCTAGAATGTTTTAAAATCTTCCGAACCCTCTAAAACATTCCAGAACTTTATGTCTCTAAAAGTCCGGATGTTAATTTTTTGGAAGGTCATATGAATTTTGTTCATAAACCCTTCAAAATAAGATTCTCTTACAAGAAAGACATAAAGGGCATGTTTGATTGGGTGGATTAGAGCATGGGATTATCTCATGTTTGTTTTAACATTTTGGTTTAGGATTATTAATCCAATGGATAATTAATTAGTAATGGGGTAGGGGTGGGATTATTAATCCAATGGATATTAATCCAATTGGATAGTGAATCCTACACTAATTTAATAGGATTATTAATACTTCACTATTAGTCTTTTGAATCAAACATGACCAAAACGTTTGGCCAAAAGACAATACAAAAATATAGGTCCAATATACTGAAGGACAATACAACAGATATAGGCCCAACCCTTTGTTGCACTAAAAGACAAAGTGAGTGCAAGGCCCGCACAATGTAAAACTCATTTAACAAATATGTTATGAAGATTTTTGGTTGTTATTTGTTAGTAAAATTTGACTATAATCAATGGTATATGCTGTTCCATCAATTCAATTCGAACTCTAATCTTTTTTTTATTATATCTTAAGATGTGACTATAAGACCTTTAAATCAAATTTAAAATCTAAAATAAAATAATTTAACACGTTATCATTTTTTATGTAAATAGTTAGTTTTCATAAAATTAACATTTTAAAAATATTTCATCAATATCGATCAAACAAAATTTAATAACAATGAAATTTTTTAAATAAAATTTTAGTGAAATTTCATGGTTCAAATATACTGAAAATAGTAAATTTCACTTTGTTGACATTAACTAACAACGAAATTCCACTACCACCAAGACCATCACTAACCACCTCAATGATCACGACACTTTTTCATTTTTTATTTTAAATTCCTTTCGTCCATTTTCTTTTACAAATTTGTGTTGAGTGACTTCTAAGCCAATTTTTTTTTTTTATAAAAAGGTGGATTATACTAAAAGTCTTTATAATTTGATATTTGTATTATTTCAGTCTTTAATTTTTTTGATTGTGATATATTTAATCTTAAATTTTGAATCTTGTTCTAAATAAAGACAAGTGAATATCACCATTACTCAATTTTAAGGATAAAGTTGTCAATTGGATAAAATATAAACATTTGACAAAAATAAATGTCAAAAAAATATTTTTAAATTTTTAAAAATTATTTCCCACCAAAGATAAAATTATGTAAAATTAATAAATCTTTTACACATTTATTTATTTATTCATTCTACCAAATTAAATTTTATTATGTATTTGGATGATGATTGTGTAATGAGTGGTTGTTTTTATTTTTATTGATTTAGTTTTTGTTTTTTCAAAAGTGGCAACAATTTTGATATCATTATTAAATCAATCCATTAAATCAAAAAATCTAAAACTAAAAATATTTCATATATTAAATATATCGATTACATATATAACGCCTAACAACCACTCATTATATGATCATCATCCAAACACAAAATAAAAATTAATTTGGTCAATAAATAAATAAATGTGTAAAAGATTTATCAATTTTACATAATTTTATCTTTTGGTAGGTAGAAATAATTTTTTAAATTTTAAAAATATTTTTTGACATTTATTTTTGTCAAATTAATTTATATTTCATCAAATTGACGATTTTGCCTTTAAAATTGAGCAATAGTATATTCAATTGTCCTTATTTGAAACAAGATTCAAAATGCAATGTTAAATGTGTCATAATTGAAAAGTCAAAAATCAAAGTGACACGAGTCTCAAACTACCGGGACTATTAATATAATTCACCCTTTATAAAAATTGTTAAACTATCCTTTTTCCATTAGAGACTTATGTTGAGTATTTTTGGCCAAATCTCTATGAGAAATTATTTGCTAATTAAAATTTTATTTCCAAAAAAATAATCTTGAAAAAAAAAAGAACAATAACGCACATTAATTGGACCATTCAAATTTCATTGATCAATTTAAAATCACTGAGACAAATTCATGAGCCTACATTACCTTAAATTGAATCCTTAATCTAATTAAAAGACTAAAAGGAACATATATCCTCTGAAATGATATACCATTTTAATAGTCATCTGACTCCAAATAAATAGATAAAAAATCTCCCACAGCATTTTGTATAAATTTTTTAAGTAATTTTTTTTGTTCTTGTATATCATTGCATTACCAAATCAAATACACCGTTGGTCAGATAATATGCTCCTAAAGTCCATGGCATGGTTCGACTTCCCATATCAACTGCCACTCTGATATCCCCGCCAAAAACCTATAACGGTAATTTGAATTTGGTCTTTAGAAAGCTACAATGCCTTACTTTGCTGAGGGATTGCTCTTCCATGAAACAGCTCTATCAAATTCATACCCAGATCCAAATCTTTGGACTCCACAATGACTGTGATATTGTAGACGAAATCGTCCAATTTTGTGCTTTACATAGCTTAGGAAGCTTGACTCATGCGCGACTCGTCATCAAACACACCGATAACTCGCTAGTCTCTTCGTGGAACCATCTCATCAGAGGTCATGCTACCAGAAATTCCCCAACAGAATCCATGTTGGTTTTCCTTGCAATGCGAGGCCGAGGCATTAGACCCAATAAGCTCACCTACCCATTCCTCTTCAAGGCGTGTGCCACTCGTTTGACCCTCGAAGAAGGGCGACAGATTCATGTCGATGTTATGAAGCATGGTGTGGATTCGGATGGTTATGTTCAGAACACTTTGATTCACTTTTACGGGTCTTGCGAGAAGATTGGTGATGCATGCCGGGTGTTCGATGAAATGACGGACAGAACTGTCGTTTCTTGGAATTCCATTATCTCTGCTTATGTTGAGGGCTTACAGTTTTACGATTCAATAGAGCTTTTTGTCAAGATGAGAGATTATGGGTTTGAACCAGATGAAACCACAATGGTGGTTTTACTTTCGGCTTGTGCAGAGGTTGGGAACTTGGGCTTAGGGAAATGGGTTCATTCTCAAGTGATAGAAAAGGGGCTGATTGTTAATTGTGAATTAGGTACTTCCCTGGTTAATATGTATGTAAAGTGTGGTGACCTATGTTGTGCTAGCCAAGTGTTTGACAGGATGACCTTACGAAATATATGGACATGGAGTGCAATGATTTTGGGGTTAGCACAACATGGATGTGCCAAGGAAGCCCTCGAACTTTTCAAGAAAATGAAGAGCAATGGAATACAGCCCAATTATGTAACCTTTCTAGGGGTCCTCTGTGCTTGTAGTCATGCTCGACTTGTGAACGAGGGGCATCGATTCTTTCACAACATGCAACATGTGCATGGAATCAAACCCACAATGGCACATTACGGTGCTATGGTGGATTGCCTCGGTCGAGCTGGTCGTCTTAGAGAAGCATATACCTTTGTTATGAACATGCCTGTTAAGCCAGACGCAGTTGTATGGAGGACCTTGCTTAGTGCATGCAACATTCATGATATTAATGACTACAATGGGGTGGGTGAGAAGGTTAGAAAGAGGTTACTTAAATTGGAGCCAAGAAGGAGCGGGAACTTTGTGATGGTTGCAAACAAGTATGCTGAAGTTGGAATGTGGGAGAAAGTGGAACGTGTAAGAAGCAGTATGAGAGACAGAGGGTTGAAAAACATTGCTGGGGTGAGCTGTGTTCAGGTAGGTGGTTCTATGCATAGATTTTTTTCAGGGGATGACTCTCAAGTTTCTTACGAGGGCATCTACCTCTTACTAGACCGATTGAATTTTCACATGAAGATGGTTAACCGTGAGTATTCAATCTAGCTGTCTGTTTTTTTTTTTTTTTTTTCCCCTTTCTTTGGGGTCATACTGTTTTCTTTCTTAGTAGCAAGAGTTACTATAAGTTTATGTTGAAAGAAATAGGCTCACCAATATTGTTGTGCAATGTTTGAGAAGTTTCAAAATTAGCTATTGCAAAGTATAGCTTTGGCCGTCAATCTTATGCCAACTCTGCTGAATAGATTTGAGAAAGATTAGCGATAGGTTAGGTCCAAAACTGTTGCTTGGCCTAATTAAGTGGCTCTTTGGAGCAAAAAATATGATTTGTTTTGTTGTTGGAATCTGTTTCATAAACCTTGGAAGCCCTTTTACGCTGTGTATGGTTGGGAGATTTAGAAAAGGATTTGGAAAGAGAAAAGGAAGAGTTAGGTGAAATGTGAATAAAATATACTTATATTTCACCTAGTTTCACACACCTTTTTCCTTTTCCTTTTTAAATCCCCCAATCAAACACAACGTTACAGAATGAAGAAATGGTTTGGAAATTGTATCAGAAGAATTATCAAGTCCTTGAAGTTGATTTTATTTGGCTGAGACTAGACTCTCCTTACAAACAAACAACTCATAGAGGAACATGTTCCTAAAATTTAAGTGATTTGGACAATGAGCTCTCCAAAATCTCATCCTTTAAACATTAGTAGATTGTCACAAAAACGCTATTGTCATGGAATACACTAAGCACCCCTTGTGTACTAACATTCAAATGGATTACACAACTGCAATTCTGTGGTCAAGAGCGAGACATGAAACGTTTACAAATGCCCAATTATTTCTGTAAGTGATGTGTAAGTACCAATGATCATAATCAAGATACCCACTAACAATATACCCCCTATGATCACCATTTCCAATCCAAATAGTGAGACATGAAATGCTTACAAATGCCCAATTATTTGTCTTACAAATGCCCAATTATTTCTGTAAGTGATGTGTAAGTACCAATGATCATAATCAAGATACCTACTAACAGTATACCCCCTATGATCGCCATTTCCAATCCAAATCTCTGGTAAGTGCCCGAAACCTTCAAGTAACACATGCATGGAAGTAAAATGGAAGCAGTTATGCTTAGAAACGCTCCGACAAGTGACATAAGATACCCAAAAAAGGGGATGGCCAGTGCTACAATGACAGTGCTGATCACCAAGATGATTCTGATCAAGAGGCTTGTTGGTCTTCTGTTGTAGTATGGAAACAAATTCTCGATGACATTCACAATTGGTGTTACCATTAATGCATATTTAGCTATGGGATTGACTAGGGTAGTGTAAATTGCCACTTTCGAGCTAATTTTTTCAGTTGGAAGGTTTAAGGTTATCTGTGCTTCTACCTTTGAACCAAACATTAGGTACCCAAAAATGGCCATTGATGCATAAATGACAGTACTGAAAATAAAGCATAGGAGCAGCACCTGCAATGGCCAACCCAGTGAAATTTAGAACTTTGAATAGCTAAAACAACTTTGGGCTATTCGAAAAACTGTGTTTTACCTTAGAGAATTCGTTTTTGTTGCTCATAGAAGTGTACAGGCTGGGGAAAACTGGATGGGCACAATAACAGAATGCATATAAACTCATAGCAGTAGGAAGTCCATTCCAATCTAGAAGCGTTCCTGTCTCGTGAAATCCAATGCCATCATATGCACCAGCCCACAAAATCGAGCCAAGGATGATTACAGAAGCTAAAACTCCACTGGCAGAGATATAAGAAAGAATACGCATGTCATTTAACAAAACTGTAGGCAGTATAATAAGGCCAACAATAATAACAAACATTTGTTTCCCATCAATTTTGGACCCAAGAATTTCAAATCCTTTGACCGGGAATAAATTATATAAATTATCTCCTTCTAGAATCAGGAAACTTGTCGCCACCATGTACAGTTCTAAGTTTATAAAAATAGATACCACTAATCTCCCCGTCTTCCCAAATGCCAGCTCGCCAATATCAGGATAACTTTTGATATTTGGATCAACATCCATACATCTTTTAAGAAGCAAGCTTGTATAGAAGGTTGCAATGGCAGTGCCAAAAAGCAGTATCAAGCTCAACCACCCTCCTGACGATAGTGCATAGGGAATTGACAATATCCCAACACCTGAGAAAAGAACAAAGAGTGAAAACATTTTCTTTTGGGTAAACGTTTTAGTTTAAACACGCAACTAGCTTGACTGAGTTCTGAAGAAAATGGAAAGGAGAGATGGTGGTTTTGCTTGAGAATGCACAGTAAATTTAAGCAAATAGGCGGTTTTTCCCATTGCTTGAACATTGCTTTAAAAGCAAGGCTGTTAAAATCAGGATCCTACGTTGGATCGTTGGAGGTGTTTTAAAGATCGGATCGTAGAATCGGATCGAGGATCGTAAAATCCTACCGAAAAAAAATAAATTACATAATAATTTAATTTAAATAAAGTATACGCAAAATGAGCCTATATGTTATTAAAAAGAAGTGAAAATATTGTGAAAAGTATAATATTCCATGTAAAATGTACATATAATATTATAAAATAGAAAACTCGATAGTAAAAGTTTTGTATTTCATCAAAAAAGAAGGTGATGAAGAAGAATTCTATAACAAAATACTTTACAATCTGCATTAATGCATAAAAAGTGAAGAAAAAATATTTTAAAAAGTTGGATATGAAAATAGATTAAGAACTCAAAAGAGTAGCTTAACCGAATGATAAGATTTGTCGTTAGCATCACCGGTGGAGCGAATTCGAGTTACAAAAATAATCTCTTTAAAAATTGGGATAAAGTTGCAATCATCTTACCCTCTTTAGACTCTACTAAAACTAAGTTTGTTTTTCCGCCTAGTTAATTTTCTTAAATTACCGCAATATTTGAATGTTTGTTTTCTAGTTCGTTTTTTTTAGTCTATTTGATTCAATACTACTTATTTTTTATTATTTATTTTGATCACATAAATTAGTATTAGACAACAAACATAAAATTTACAATAAAATATGTCATACAATACAAAACAAGGCTTGTAAATTAGATCGGATAGGATCGGATTCAGATCGGGATTCCACGATCCTATAAGATCCCATTACCAGGATCGAAAGATCCTACCTATAAGAAATTTTTTACACGATTCGGATCGATTGTACTCAAATGGATCGTAAGATCGTAGGATCGTAAGATCCGAATCGGGATTCTGATAACCATGTTTAAAAGAAAAGAAAAGAAAAGAAAAGAAAAGAAAGGGAAGGGAAGGAGATAACAAAGGAATTAGAAGAGAACCTGACAAAGCGTTGAGACCATTGAAACATGTCTTGAAAAAGGAGGTGGCGATGGTGGCTGTAGTAGTAGTACTAGTGGTGGTGTAGTTGTGCTGGCCAATTGACTGCACCACCAGTACTCCCTCAGCGGCCTCTGCTTCCTTCTCATCCTTAATAGTGTCAAGCACCAGCGGTATGGTGAGACCGTACCCATCCCCTGGTTTGGTCTCCATTGCTGAGCTAGCCTTTCAAGTGTACAAATTAAAAATAGCCAAGAAAGCAGAGAGGTGTGGAAGAGGAAATTTTTAACTCATATATGGTCAAGTGTAGTAGAGGTTGATGATGTATATTGTCAACCTAACATTGTTGTTTTTAGTATGTTATGTTATACTTCGTGACCTTCACGTGGCTGCAAATTTCAAGACTTTGATTCTTCTTTAGCACGGGGTTTCTTTGGTACAATCATTAAAAGTTAATAATTAGATAATAGAATTTAAAACGTCTCTCTCAATTTATTTGTTTTTTTTGATAAATATCTCTCCCAATTTTTTTGAATTTCATTTAAATTATATTTGCCTAATAAACTGTAACTAAAATTTATACTAAACACTCTATCTTTAAATATGTATATATATATATACACTATCATATGTGAACACTGAACTTAGTGTCCATATCTTTAAATCTTCTCCTCATGTCACATGACAGATTTTTATATACTAAAATAAAACATTATTATACTACACTTCTCATTCCATGTGACAGATTTTTATATGTTAAATAAAATATTATATACTACACTCCTCATGTCACGTGTCAAATTTTTATATGCAAAAATAAAAAATTATTATACTACAACACAAGTAAGGTTTGAACCAAAGATATTGAGTTTAATTAAAAAAAATATTACCATTTAAATAATTTACATATTATAATATTAGTTTCTTTATTATTATTTTTATCTTTAATTATTTGAATTGCACACATATCACGTGTGCCACCTATTAGTGTGTATATATATATATATATATAAGCAGTTCTAAACATTAATTGCACCTAGCGATGACAGTTTCCACTTACCTCGTTCTTCCCTACCCATGTCTCAATTATATTTATTAGATATATTTATACTTGTAATATATATAATTTAATTTTTTAAATATAATAAGATTAAACACTAAAATAGAAGAATACAATGTTTGGTGTCGGACCAGACCTATACCTTCTAAAACACAAACACTCACAGATACAGAGAAGCAGAGATGCTCAAGACAAGAGAAGAACAAGGTAATGAAAGAAAATATTAACTAAATCAAACAAAATGAAACTCACTTGATAATAAAAAAAACACTAAACAAAAAACAAACACTACACAAAAGTGAATAATATGTAAACAAAGAACAAACACTAAACTCACTTGATAAAAAAAATATTAACTAAATCTTAAAGAAAATTGATTAAGTATGAAAAGTGAATAATATGAGGATTTCAATCAATAAACAAACACTACACAAAAAACACTAAACTGATGTGTATATATATAATAAAAAAATTATACTATATGTATCAAACTTTACTCACTTGAAGAATTGAATCCAACCCAGTACCCAAACATTAACTATCAAATGAATTACATAAGGCCATGTGTTGGGGTTTTGAACTCAAGCTCAATTCTTCTGAAGAGTGTTGTGAGGCTTGGAAGGTCATGTGTACTGGGAATTATTACAATGATTCATGATTCCTATATATAGAAGAGGGTGAGTGTGTAGTAGGTAAGGAGTAGGTGAAGTGGAGGTGGTAGTGGTGTAGTGGGTTAGGTTTAGTGGAGTAGGTTTAAGTGGGTGAAGTAGGTGGAGAGTAGGTGGATTTTAACAAGTGTTTTTATCATCTTGGTTTTGCTCATGTGTACTAGTTCATCCCAAATTTTACTTAGCTAATGTTTGTTTACTTGATCTGAAATATTTTTGAGTTTCAATTAATGCTTGTGCATCTAAATATCATTAACAAAAAGTTATTCTCATTCATGTACTGTATTTATCATTTCCAGATCAAAATGGTTCTGTCAATGTACAAACTGTGAGGGAAAACGAGACAGCAAGTTCTCTTGCTAATCGAGATGGGGAGACTTGCCTCAAAACACCGGAGATTCAAAATGTTATGCCAAATGACTATTTGGTCAGGGATCAGGAAAATAAGACTAGCAATGGTGATACCCACTCTGGTGATGCTGAGATACATAAAGGAGTGCCAATGTCTCCTAGAACACTTTCATTGCTGTGTGATGAGAAAGATATGTCGTTCATGCCAGATGATTCCTCAGACCAGATAAAGAACCATGTCTCCAACACAGATGTCTATGCAGAGCAGGAAAGTCTTGTGTTGGTAAAATTCCAGAATTGTCTTAACAGGCTCATCACACGTGGAAATATGAAAGGTAGTTATCACATCTCATCCTTTTTAAGTAGTTCCAATTACTAGTAAATGTTGAAGAATACCCTTTAGTGGACCTAGATTGATAAAACTATTATTTGTAAAAAAGTTTTAACATGTCTCTTTCAGTTGATCTTGTCTTTGAATTTGGTAGACCCTAATAAATCCTAAACTTAATTGCTAAGTGGGGTTAATCCTTTTACGCCAAAAATGTGCCATACATGCATTGGCGGAGGAGGACTTGCACCCTGGCCTAGTAATCTTAATAATCTTACTGTTCCTCTGTTTAATTTCCAATCAAATTGAAGTTATGTATTGCATAGCTTAAATTAAATACCAGAAGATGTTAAAAAGCTTTTAGTTGACTGGTCTATGTATGTACATGAATTAGAATACCATGATGACGCAATGCTTTTCCATTATGCTGCTTACGTTGGTCAACTTGTGACCAGTTCAGAATGAAATCATGTATATCATTGCCAAACTTTAATTTCTTCATCATTTTACAAGAATACTAGGGTAGTCTCACAAAGCTGTCAATTATTTTATTCTCCTCTCTGGACTGCACATTTTCCCTGTAATTGATGACTTTTATCATTTTTATCGGCATTGCAGAAACAGAATGCTTTTTGTCAGCTTTTAGCATCCTTGCATCGTGTGAGTGACTGCCATGAATAGCATGCTTACCATGAGGCTAATTGCTTATGTGATATAACTGCCTGAGTGCCTGTGGGTGAAGGTTGTGTTATTTGAATTGGAATAATTCATCAAATGTGTGTTTTAAGCCCACTAGATAGTGGCAAAATCATGTTTTCTAAGCCCACCCGAGGGTGGCAAATCCACGTCTTAGCCTACTTGCGGGTAGCACCATCAAACCACTTTCAAATAAACAAACATGAAATGTTTTGTTCCAATTCGGGCGACCTAGTCTATGCTTATATACTGTGTGCATCACATAGTAACCTAGGCTAATAATTGGTTTAAGAACACACAAAGTTTTCAAAAATTGATATCATGGTTAGTAGAGGCCAATCTTTGATCGGGCGAGCGGGGGTGCTCACGAAGTGACCTTCCCCAATCATACCCAAGTTCCCGAGCCGAGGCAACTTTGGTGATGACGGACACGTGGCCTTTGGCACCGAGTCAGGGTTTCCTAAATTTCCCAAAATAAAATATTTAGGTGGCGACTCTGTATCTGGCAAAGCAGTCCATGTTTGGCACTTCTTTCAAAAATCTGTTTGTTTCTCAAAACGATTCGCCGGATTTGGACTCTTTGGTTCAGACTTAGAACCGTGACAAATTTGAGAGTCCTGAGCTGTAGTGACCCCAAAATGAACAGAACGGGAGCTCGTTCCTCCCGGGGCGTTCGGGGACGTCTACACAGAGTAAAGACATATCCACTTATGGATTTTGAATCTTTAGTATCCAATATCCAATTGGCATCACAATAACCTTCGAGTACTGCTGGATATCGAGTAAAGTTCAAACCATGATCACGGGTGAATCTTAGATATCTAAGAACCCGAATGATCGCTTTCCAATAGTATTCTCCGGGATTGCTAGTGTACCTACTCAATTTACTGATAGCATAAGCTATATCAGGACGAGTACAATTCATTAGGTACATTAGACTTCCAATAATTTAGGAGTATTTTAACTTAGACACCGCATCACCTTTATTTTTTGATAAATAAAGATTGACGTCTACAGGTGTTCTAGCTAAATTCATATCATCATTGATAAATTTACCAAGAATTGTCTCAATATAATGTGATTGAGATAATGCATATCCATCAGATGTTTTAGTAATTTTCATTCCTAATATAACATCTGCGACTCCCATATCTTTCATATCAAATCTTTTGTTAAGCATTTGCTTAGTTAATTTGATCATGTTTTGACTGCTTCCAATGATAAGCATGTCATCTACATAAAGACAAACTATGACATATCCTTGGTCAGTGTTTTTTACATAGACGCATTTGTCACATTCGTTTATCTTAAACCCATTAGTAAGCATTGCTTGATCAAATTTTTCATGCCATTGCTTAGGTGCTTGTTTTAATCCATAAAGGGATTTTACAAGTCGACAAACTTTCTTTTCTTGCCCTGATACTACAAACCCTTCGGGTTGCTCCATATAGATCTCTTCATTTAGATCACCGTTTAAGAAAGCTGTCTTAACATCCATTTGATGTATTTCTAAATTAAACAACGCTGCTATAGAAATAAGTATGCGAATGGATGTTATTCTTGTTACAGGGGAATATGTGTCAAAATAGTCTAGATCTTCTTTTTGTCTGTAACCTTTTACTACAAGTCTTGCTTTATACTTGTCAATTGAAACATCTGCTTTTATTTTTCTCTTCAATATCCATTTATATCCAAGAGGTTTATAACCTGGTGGAAAATCCACCAATTTCCAAGTATGATTTTGCATAATGGATTCAATTTCATTATTAATAGCCTCTTTCCACAAAGGTGTTTCAGGACCTGTCATTGCTGCCTTAAAGCTTTGAGGTTCATTTTCTAACATGTATGTTAGAAAATCTAGACCAAAAGATTTTGATGTTCTCGCTCTCTTACTTCGTCTTGATTCATCATTAATTAAATCCTGTTGGTCGAGACCATTACTAGTCTCTTGTGTTTGATTGTCATTAATCTCTTGACTTTGTGTACTATCATAAGTTCTTTTCTGTGAACTTAATTCCTGTCCTTTCTTATAAAGAAAGACATGTTCAAAAAACACAGCATTCCTTGACTCTATAATAGTGTTCACATTTATATTAGGTATTTTTGATTTATAAGTCAGAAACCGATATGCACTACTATTCTGAGTATAACCAATAAATACACAATCTACTGTTTTTTGTCCAATCTTAGTCTTTTTAGGAACAGGAACTTCAACTTTTGCCAAACACCTCCATACTTTTAAGTATTTGTAGGAAGGCGGTCGACTTTTCCACAATTCATACGGAGTGTTGTTGGTTTTCTTGTGGGGTATTCTGTTAAAAACATAATTAGCAGACAATATTGCTTCCCCCCACAAGTTTTGTGGTAAGCCTGAACTTAGTAACATGGCATTCATCATTTCTTTTAGGATTCTATTCTTCCTTTCAGCAATTCCATTTTGCTGTGGAGAATAAGGTGTTGTAATTTGGTGAATAATGCCATGTTGTGCACAAAATTCATTTAATGGTGCATCATATTCACCACCCTTATCACTTCTAACCATTTAATGGTTTTACCAAGTTGATTTTCAACTTCTGTTTTGTAGAGTTTAAACATTTCTAAGGCTTCATCTTTACTTCTAAGTAAATAAACATAACAATATATTGTGCAATCATCGATAAATGTTATAAAATACTTTTTGCCCCCTCTAGTTTGAATAAATTTTAGATCACATACATCAGTATGAATTAATTCTAGAGGTTCGGTTTTCCTTTCAACTGATTTAAATGGAGCCTTAGTTAGTTTCGCTTCTACACAAACTTCACATATATGATTAGGATTAATTTCAAACTTTGGTATATAATCCAAACCAATTAATCTACGTAAAGCATTATAATTTACATGTCCTAATCTACCATGTCATAAATTCGACTTAAGAATATAAGCAAAAGATGTGTTATTCTCATTTATAGCAACTTTTGGTACAACTGTCATTACATTTAGTTTGAAGAGACCATCACTCATGTATCCCTTACCAACATACATGCCACTCTTTGTTAATACAAATTTATCAGACTCAAAGACAAGCCTAATACCATTTTTACTTAACAAAGAACCAGAAATTAAATTCTTCTGAATGTCAGGTACATGCAGTACGTTGTTGAGGGTCAGTTCTTTCCTTGATGTCATCTTCAAGATCATTTTTCCTTATCCGGCCACAATAGAAGTAGAAGAATTTTTCATGAAAAGTTGTTCACCATTTGCAGCCTCATTGTAGGTTGTGAACATCTTCTTGTCCGCACATATGTGACGAGTTGCTCCTGTGTCAACCCACCACTCTTTGGGATTTCCAATCAAGTTAGCCTCAAACACTACAACAGAGAGGTTGATGTCATTCACTCTGTCAGAGATGTAATCTAGTTCAGTTACATTGGCCTGATTGCTAGTCTTCTTGCTTGTACTTCCATGATCCTTCTTAGGGCGGCGGCAGTCAGAAGCTCGATGTCTAGTCTTGCCACAGCTATAGCATTTTCCTTTGAATTTCTTGCTGCTATCGCCTTGTTTAGGACCATCTCCGGTAAACTTCATCTTTTTGTTATGTGGTTTATGAACTTGTTCAACCACATTAGCCTTAGACTCAATAGGATTTTTTCCATTCCTCTTTTCAGCCTTTCGGTTATCTTCCTTAATTCTTAATCTTACAATCAATTCATCCATGGTAATCGCTTTGCGTTTATGTTTTAAATAATTTTTGAAATCTTTCCAAGCCGTTGGTAACTTTTCCACTAAAGCAGCGACTTGGAAAGACTCGCTTAGAGACATACCCTCAGAATGAATGCCATGCAAAATTATTTGAAAACTTTGAACTTGAGAAATTACCGTTTGGGAGTCTACCATAACGAAGTCCAGAAATTACCGACAACAAATTTCTTCGTGCCGGCATCCTTTGTCTTGTATTTTTTCTCCGAAGAATCCCACAATTCTTTTGCTATTTTCAGAGGACTGTATACATTATACAACATATTATCAAGGCCATTGAGAATGTAGTTTCTGCACAGGAAATCTGAATGTTTCCAAGCATCTACAGCGGCAATAACTTGCCGATCACTTTCACCATCTTTAAGTGCTAGAGCCTCTTCATGAAGAAATCGGGCCAAATTTAGAGTTGTAAGATAGAACAGCATCTTCTGCTGCCATCTCTTAAACTCAGTACCGTTAAATTTTTTTGATTTTTCTCCATGATTTATTGGTACATGAACATGGTTCTGGATAGGGACCGGTGTTGGTGTAAGAATCGGAGTACCACTACCAGTTGCAGTAGCCATAATCTCTGATTACAAAAAATCATAAAAATTTAAGACGCAAATTAATTTTCTAGTTACTAAAACCAGAAAATAAATGATAACACAAAATAATTTTATTTTCCTTGTTACTAAAACTAGAAAAATAAAATACCACAATAATTTTCTGTAACACAAATTAATATTCTGCAGTTGTTAATGACACCAATATATTAATACTAGTTGTCAAAGAAAAGAAACAGTATATTACTACTATCTGTCATATAGCATAAATCACTATTTGTTTTTCCAACCAGAATATGTCTTTTTGAAATCACAGAAAATTAAATACAATGAAGATACCAAAATAGTTATGTCTTAAGATTGTTGGACAATCTTCACTGTATTTAAATAAATAATATTCTGTTGTGTACTAAACAACAACAAGAATATAAAGAAATAAAGGAAATGAGAGAATTTATTTGATTACAAAAATCAAACTAGAAATAAACAAATAAAAATAGATTTTATTTTGTTACAAAAATAAAATTAAAATCTAATTTAAAACAAATAAAACAGAATAATAAATTAAACAATTTACTTGATTAATTTCTTCTAATAAATATCTGATCAAGTTCAGTGTTTGACACTGTGTCCTTAAGACAGATTTGTCCTCTCTACGGTACTTTCAAAATGTGGACATCT